GTTTTTTTCCTATAAATATTGATCAAAAATTGTCCACTGGGTTAAAATTTTTAAAAGCTTAATACAAGATCTTTTAAAAATTGTTTCTGTTTGAGTATAAATACTATAAAATATATAGGCACAATTTTTTTCACATGTATTTGAAATTAAAATTTTTATAAAATTCGTCAAAATTACGAAAATTGACTGACTTAAAGAGTTTTTTAGTAAAAAATATATAAAATCCTTAATTTGTATATATAGTATAGCTAAGGTATGTCATGTGAACAATGGGAATTTAACATTATGTTCTCCATAAGTAGTTTTCACTGTAACTAAAAAATATACAAACAATATTATTTTTTATATATATTTGTAATTTAAATTTGGACGAAATAACAAATTTTAATGATGAATAACAATGTTGATTATTTTGTTATTACTCAAAAACATTATTTGTTGGGACTTATAATTTATATATTTTAAATTGTATTATATCAGATATACAGATTATAATGTTAATTAACATCCAACTCTTTTATTTCTTAATAATTTTTAATTAAATTTATTTATTGCAATTTATGATTATTATTAATTTTGTATTTTCAATACAAAACTTGTACTATATTTACTGTGAGCTCGTTATTAAACTGACAAAATCTGATAATACACTCATTATAATATTGTCACTGACACGGTTGATGGAGAATCATCTATAAAGATTGCAACAATACATTACTCATGGAGATTATGTATAAAGCAAAAAATAAATAAATAAATATCCTTCGTGATTAAGCCTTTATGAAATCGAGTGTCCAAAGAACAGCGAAATTCAACTGTCACTCTTTTGGAAAAATCATCTATGTGACTTGGGGCTATAATTTCATATCAACAATGATTGACGGGCATTTAGATTAAACATAATAATACAAATGTAGGTCAAAACCATATATTTGACAGTAGTAAAGTTAAATTGCTTGAAAATTACGTCTTCGCCTCATCTTTGGAACTTTTGGTGAATTGTATATTATTTTTATGTTTATTTCCTTACACAAATCAATTTCTAGCTGTTTTTTTAAGATTTTTATTTTTAAATAATTAATAAACAATGTAGAATTAATTATTCATTATCTATTAAAATAGATTAATTATTATTCATCACTTATTAGCTTATCATGGTTTTTTAAATAAAAATAAATATTATGAGAAGTTTTATTTTTTGATGTACCTATTTCTATTATAACAATAACGTTTATAATGTTTGTTATGTTAGACATATTGGATTTTATTTTTTAGTTGAAACTGGATTACTGTAGTCCAAAAGTCAACAGTATCACTTTCTGTTGACTATCGGATATCTAGTAATTTCTCTGTATTTATTTCTTTGTCTCGTTCCTGTTAATTGTTATAAGATATTTCGGGGGGTCTAGTTGATTTTTTTTATAGATTTAATTCTGTTCTTGTGTTTTTATTTTTCAAAATTCCAAAAAAAAATATAGGTTTAAACCAAATTAAATGACCAATTTTCAGAATTGATATTTTTTGAAAAGTGTTTATTAATTTCTCGTTCATAAAAAAGAATTTATTATTCTTTTGTACTTAAACAATTAATACTGTTTTCTCGTTAAAACATTATTGATTCAATTATAGTATTAACTCATCGTAGGCTTACTAAACCTCATATAATTTTACAAATGTCTTGAAAAAAAGTTTACAAATAAATCTTAAAATAATGTTATTATAATTTATTGCATAAAAAGTGAAATTTACATTAATATTTTCAATTACTAGCAATATTTTTTAATATGATTAATAATATTACAATCTCCCGTGGATAACCCGAAAACCGTGTTTTACTCGGTTTGTAAATTTAATTCATTCTTATACTTTCTAAGATTCTGAGTAAAGCAAAAAATAAGATGTATTGGTTATATAGTATATACAATATATTCTTATTAATTTAATTATTAATATAAATTATAGTGTGGTTTCTTTAAGCTTACTTTTTAAATTTAATGATAACTTATTTTATTTCATAAAATATAAAAATATTTTTACTGGAACATATAATCTAAAAGCTTTAGTTTATAAAAGTTATATTTTTGATTTTTTTAACGAAAAATAGGATTAATATGTTACAAAACGTATCACAAAGTTACTTATAAAGTAAATGTATAAGGTTATATTATTGTGTATCCGCTTGTGTTATTTACCTTGTTACAACTAACCGAATAAAACGTATCGATATTTTGGATTTGTAGTATTTGTACGCTTCGAGTCCTTGACGCTGTAAGTTTTAAAACTGTTGAAGCAATAAAAAGTAAGAATTATAAAGGTACATATTTTGTTTTGTTTCAAGATTTTGGTTGAATGAAAAATTTAATGATTAACTAAAATATAAATAAAAAATAATATATTAATATAGAATTATTTGTTAAAGCCACACAATTTCCGAATACTTGTTGATCAATTTTTTAAAAATATTTTAGACTCAAATTATTTTTATTGCTTTATTGAGAGTAGTTTTTAATAAATTATATTTAATCTAGTTGGTTGTTTTTGTTATAAAAACAGAGTAAGTACTAGTTATTTTTTAAATAATTAAGAAAAACTATGAAGTCAAAATATTTTGAAAATTTTATCATGAATAGAAAATGATAAAACATTTGATGAAAATTTCAAGTAGGTAACTACGGTTATTTTTTGTCGAGTTGCATAAAAAAAAACCAAATAGATTTGTCAAAAATTGGATTAGGCGTAAAAATTTCAGTTTTTTCTTAACTTTTTGTTTTGAAAAAGGCTGATAATAAAAACAAGGGCGCCCATAGAAAAATTCTCAAGGGGGGGACAACATTTTAATTATGTCCATGAAATGGGAAGGGGTTTACAATTTAACATTATACTATTATATTTTATATATTAAACTGGAAAATTATGAAATAATAATTATTTAACCAATTAACCATAAAAGTTATTTATTGAATTTTTATTTGATTAATAACATAAATTTATTAAAATATTAATTTACAAATAAAAATTTTAACACCAAATATATTTATTACTTATTCTATGTATTCATTCGTTTTATCATCAATTTTTTCTCTATGCACGTTTATCATTCATAATCCATCAAGTTTATTTTCACTCATTGTAGATCTTGTGTAAACAATTTTTCAACATTTTTTAGGGGGGGGGGCATGTCTCTCCCTTGCCCCTCCCATATAGGCGCCCTTGAATAAAAATAAATAAAACATTTTATTGTTGGAAACAAGTTAACGTTAGTTCAAAATAGTGTTTCGACAGCTACTAATAAAAACAGGCATGGCTGAAACATAGTCGGCAAGACAATGCGTTTCATCATTTATCATTTTCAACGAAACTTCTAATCACCGGGCACTGTCGGTCGCCGAATTTTGTCAGCTATTTGTAATGGGGAGGGGGGATGAAAAAATTAAATATTATCTAAATATACCAAAAAAATATACACATAATAATATGTATATTTGTATTATTTGTATATATAAATAAATTTATATATTGCTATTTAAAACAAAATCAGTTACTGAATGAGTTGGCCATTCCTAAGACGGATAAGATAAATTAGGTATAGATAACTAGTACAATAATAATGTGTAAGATTTACATTATAATAGAATATACTTGAGATTATAATTATGATAAAAAATATTTAAATCTAGCTATAAAAATGTCCATTATTTAGAGTGCTCTGTATTTAGAGGTTTTTTTTTTTATAGATAAGTAGGTAGTGAAAATGTTACCATTCTTGAAAAAATTTCCGCTATTTAGAATTTAGAGGTATCCGTTAAAGGAACTTTTCAAAGTTTCATAGTCCTTGAATACATTGTTAGATAATTTGTAATATTAAATAATCGCCACATGTTTTTAGATCACCACATTATGTATAATTTAATAAGATATATTTACTTGAAGTGGGTATATTTTAAACAAATCTCAGAGAAATTTTATTTTATCAGTGTGTTAATCGAAATAAGAATAAAACTAAAATCATTTTAGAATCCAATAGTTTTTGCTTCCTCTATTGGGATTTTATAAGAATCATAGACTTTTTGTCAAATTGAATTACGTCAATTGAGTATTTGAGTGTATATAATTGTCTGTATAGTGTATACAGTAAATCCTAATATGACACCACATTGAATAGTCATAATATGGTTTAACTAAAAAAAAAGTATTATAATGTTTTTTTATCTGTGATTGTTAAACTGTATTTAATTAAAATGAGTTTTATGCATTATTTATATTATTATTCGTACTTTACAAATATAGAAAATTATTTGCAAATTAAAATATATGTATTTATAAAATGTTATTACATATTATTTATTTAAAAATTTATAATTTATTTTTTATTTTTGTATATTGTTTTAACATACTTATAACCTATTGAATATTTTTGAAATGTTAAATTATATAATTAAATACAAACATACATACCTAATATAATAATAACTATGCATAATTATAAACTATATAATTTAAAGTAAACATTTAATGTTAAAACTGACATTTTTATTATATTTTGTACAATAAAATATTAGTCTTACAATCGACGAGTCGTTATTTAATCCTGGAATAAATATAAACGACTTAATTATTTTATTACAGCATATTAAAATATAATTAAAAAAAAAAAAATTATAATTCATAATTTACATGTATAAAATCTTATTGAAAAATTCTTAAAAATATATATTTATAATAGGAAAAAAATGTTTGAAATATATATTTATTAAAAAATAAAAATAAATATTTCAAACGAAAAGTAATAAGAATACGGTTAATTTAATTAAATTGTTTTCTTAGTATTCAAATATTTTTTTATAAAGTCAAACGTGGAAACTAATTAAAATGGTTGTATGTGGTTATTGAAAACTATTATTCTTGGCGCCGACGCTGAAGATCAGCATCTCTATGGCCCAACATTGTGGGCCTGACCGCTGTTGCTGTGCAACGGGCGCTCAGTAAATAACATTCCATTTCGTCTAGGGAATAACGTGCGTACTTCGTGAAAATCATTTGATGAGGTAAGTCTTGCGTTTAGTTTAATAATTTATAAAAAAAATTGTATCATTTTCTGTAACAATTTTTAGCAGTATAATATTAATTTCTAAATATTTTAGTTTATCTCTAAGCCTTATTTATTTAATATTAATGTTTAAAAAATTAATTTATTCACATGGTAAATGATGCACTAGTATGTATTATTTATTTATCTTTTGCTGTAAACGAATTATAGATATAAAAATGCATTCACAAAATAATTGGTTAGATTTTAATTTAATTTTATTGATTTTAACTTTTTAAATGATTTCCACTCCATAGAAAAATTTATAGGTACTTATTATTCATAATATTTATGCTACCCATGTTATATTTTGTAGCTTAATGTATAAAATTATAATTTTTTAATTTTTTTTGTATATTTTAGCTTAAATTATAAAATACTTTATAATAAGAAAAATATATTTTAAATATACTGAAATTATAAATAATATATAAACTAAAGACTATACATTTTATTAAAATATCAAAATGATAATTTAATTGTTATTGTTACGTTTATTATTTTCTTCATATAATACTATAGATTTTTATAAATATTGGTCAAACTAACAAATATTTTTAATAGTATATAAATAAATAGATTTGTTTTGATTTATTGTCTTATGTGATTTCATTGATTTGTATCTGTACTTTTTTTTAAAGATAATTTATATATTAAATTTTTCCATATAGTTATCAATATAAAAACTGTTTATTTGTAAATGTTTCTTTTATAAAAAAACGTTATTAAAATTCAGATTTTAAAAATTTTTAGGTAATTTTCAGGTTAAATATAAATTAATTACCCATTAAATATATGTATATAACTTATTTTGATTACAAAAATAAATTTAATAAATATATGTATAAGTTGTATTTTAAATTATACATTACTGAACATTTTACATTTAATTGTAAATGAAAAATGTATAATTGATTTAATTTTTAAGTCATATGGCAAATTAGCCAAATAATTATGATAAACAGATGAATTTATTAAATGTTTAAAAAAACATAGCATGCATAATGTACTGATTTCCTCTATTTAAAACATAAATAATGTAGATAATCTATACACATTTTATAAAAATATTATACTCATACAAATTATAAATTGTTTCATTGCTTAAGGTAAATCATATGATAAATGATTTAATGTGTAATTATTGTATCAATATTAAAAATAAAAATACTTAAGTGTAATTATTAATTAATGATAAAATATTTAAGAAATAAAATAATAACAGTGTATGTTAGTTATTTTATTAGGTGTGATTTTTAGATTGGTTTTTAATTTGTATTGATGTTGTAAAGTTATTTAGGTACATTTAAAAAATATAAATTTATATAATTAAATGTTATAATTATAGAATTATACTGATAAAAGTTTATATTAACTGGTAATAAATATTAAAATAAGGTTATATTTCAAAAATAAAACATATTGTATTTGCTGATTATTAAATATTGATTGGTTACAATTTCTGGTAAATTAAAACTTCTATGTTAAATATACTGTGTCATGATATTTATTCTAAGTTTTTAAATTGATAAAAAAAAAATTAAATAAGATAGAAATATATTGAGTTTTAAATATTCTGTATAGGTTTTATCAATAATGATTTATGGGTGCATTTTTTTTTTTTTATCATATTATGTGATAAACATTTTTTCTGGCATTAAAAATTATTAAAAATTAAGCTTTATCAGAATTAATTTCTATGGTATTAACTATTAATGTATAAACATGTACTATTTTTTTTTTTAGTTTTACAGTATTATTAACCTAAGATTTTTTTTTCAAAACATTTTTTTTCAATAATTAAAAATCTCTTAAAAACGTCATTAAAATATAGTAAAATGTTTAAAAACAGTTAAGTAAAGTCAATACTATAGATTTAAAATTTTAAAACAATATACCTATTATATATTTTATTAAATAAAAAATATTTAAAAAAATTAAAATTAAAATATTTTCATATTTTAACAATAATTCCGTATTAGCACTTATCAAACAGTTTTACCAAATATATATGAAATATATTTCGGGAAAGACCCCGTTTACCCAAAAATAACTTTTTGCTTTTTGCCCAAAAATAGTATAGCACTTTTTGACCACATTTTTATAATACACACTTTAAATTATTTATAAATAAATTACAAATTTAATAGTTATATTTTGATAATTTATATTTTTTATATTAAATTTTTTTTTGAATTTATAATATTTTTAATATAAATTCATCTTCTTTTATTTTTAACACAATAGTGTATTAAACGAAAAATATGTACTAATGCATAAAGCTAAATGGCTTTATGAAACTAATTTTCACAAATAAATAATAAAGTGTGTATTATAAAAATGTGGTCAAAAAGTGCTATAATATTCTTGAGCGAAAAGAGAAAGGTCATTTTGGGCGAAAAGAGTCCCGTCCATTACCTCGGGTACAAGCCTAGCCTATAAAGGGACGACCAACGTACACTAGTCGTTTAATAAAATATTTAACTTTTATAAATAAAGTTCTCAAATGTATTATGAATAACTTACAGTGTTAATAACAGTTGTAGAATTTATAGAAATTGTTTCGATAAAAGGTGTCAATGGTAATCTATCATATTTTATTTTGTCACTCATTATTGTCATTTTACAAATTTTATATTACAAAACACTACTATTTTGCACCGATGTGTAGGAAGTGATATGATTATTTATCCATCTATTAACTGGTCTTATTATTCTGTCTGATTATAATTTAATTCTTGATAATATTAACTAAAATACAAGAAAATACTATGAATACTAAATATTTTATGAATAATAAAATATAAAATAATTTACGTTTAATTTGAATTTTATAAGTTGAATAAATAGATATTTGGTACTAATAGCAAAATTGGCTTTTTTCTTATAAGTCAATAAAGTAAGATTTATACATAGTAATAATTTTATCTATTTTTCTTACTTAGATGTAAAACTTTTTTCTATAAACACTTTTTAGTTTAATACAGTGGCATATTTAGAACTTTATCTTGAAAAAGAGATGTATGTATAATATATTTATCCGAAATTCTCCAAGGTTACTTAAATATTTTGATAATTTTATAACAAAATACGTTGCCAAAAATTATATGTTATATGTATAAACCGTTACCTGGTAGGTTAAACGTATTTTACCACTAAATATTATACATTGTTAATATTACATTTTAATTATCATAATAATTCACATGTTATTATTAAAAAAAATGTCAACACATAAAAATTTTAATAATTGTATTTTATACAAAATATTATAATTATTATACCTATTATAATTTATAATTATAAAATGTAGTATAGTATGTAACAATATTATACATAATATTATAAAGTGTTTATATTTAGGTTTATTTTCTCAGGATTGACATTAGGCATTTAATCATTATTTATTATTGTTATTTGACTTAAAAAATACTCATTAATGAACAATAATTATTACCTTGAAATGCAAAAAAATAATTTTAAAAAACATCAATACATTACCCCCGACCGACATAATACACCACTGGTTTAATAGTTATAAGACAAATGATGATAACGAAAATGTCCAGATAATTTTTAGCTCATAATAGTACTTAAGTATAGTTATATTTGGCTAGCTGAGTAGTTGATTATATAGAAAATATAAAATACATTTGTAAGGAAGAATGAAGTAGAATATGTGTTGTTCTTTCTTTGTATCCACAAATTTAGATATTACCCACCATCATTAAACAACTAATGTTGTTGAAGATTGGCATTTAAAACTTATGAAAATAATGGTTAGTATTTTATATAATTATATAAGTTATTATAGTAGTTACTATGTACACGTATCAAAGCTCTTTTCAACATTTGCAAATGGAGCGAGATAATTTGGAAAAGTTTACCCTGATGAAAATTCAATATGGATACGTAAAGAAAATTAATACTGCCAAGTTAAAAAAAAATCATTACAAATTGAGCTTTAAGAATAAATTTAAATTAAATAAAAGTTGTACGACTTAAATGAAAAAAAAATAAAATATGTGTTGAATACAATTTTAAACTACAGGAATATTTTATATTTCTTTTTATAAATTTTTCTGTGGTACACTCGTACATTGTATAACAAATATTTTAAGTTTATAAGAATATTTAATAATTAAAAATTAGTTAACCTAGCTTTTTAATTTTTTATTATTTTTAAAGTTTTACTTGAATAAAATCTTGAAATTTGATTTATTTATAGTAAAAAATAAAATAAATTTATTTTTGTAGTTTAACTACTTAAAATATTTTTGAAATATTTTCATTATATAAATTAACTTTTGAATAAATTATCCTAAGTTTTTAAATAAATAATGTAATTTTACTTAGAATAATATGGAATATATTAAATTATATGTCAAGTTTTAGAAGTGCTCAGTTTAATTTAATAGATAATTAACTATAAAGAAGGCTTAGGGCTATTGTTGTTAAAACTTATTACTCTAAACAGCATGTTGAAAATTTGTAACGCCTATATCTCAATAATTTTCGTTTTGAAAAAGTATTTGCTTTTCTTAACACGTTGGTTGAGTTACATTTTTTTATTTTTGTTCTTTGAATTGTAATAAATATGAATAAGAAATTAAAAAAATTCGAAAATCTCAAGCTAAAATGTTCTATGAACTAATAACAATTTTAAAAATAATCTTTAAAACATAGAGACATCTTAGGATCTATGGTAGTCGCGAGTTATTTTCAATATTTTACAAATATATTTCAATAATATTGTAATAGATAACAGTACACGTGTAATACTAATAATATACTTAATAGTTTATGCATAAACTAAAGTATAGACGTAATGTTGGATCTTATATGCTCACTATTCATCTACCGCTTTTAAAGATGTCATTGTCACAATGGAGCGTACGTAATTCGAGTGTAAAAACTTAGTATGTGAACTAACAACATTTGGTACATATTTACAATAGA